GAGCCCAGCAGGTAGAGGGCGCAGTGGTTGGAAGTAGCCACTGCACTCCAGTCTGGGCAACAGAGTAAGACTCCAACTCAAAAATAAAATAAAATAAAATAAAGTACTAAAGAAAAGAGGAGTTGGTGAGGTACAATGGCTCAAGCCTGTAATCCCAACACTTCGGGAGGCTGAGGCAAGTGGATTACCTGAGCCAGGGGGGTTCAAGACCAGCCTGGGCAACTTGGTGAGACCACGTCTCTACAATAAATTTTTTTAAAAAGGCTGGGTGTGGTAGTGTGTGCCTGTAGTTCTGGCTACTTGGAAGGCTGAGGCTGTGAGCATGCCACGGCACTCCAGCCTGGGTGAGAGTGAGATTCTGACTCAAAAAAACAAAAAAAAGTAGAAGCAAATGTCTGCTGCACACCCACAGGATGAATCTTCTCTACCTTCACACTTCATCTGACCTTTTATAAAAATATTCTGAACCCATTTCTATAGCATACAAAAGACTGATTTAAAAGCGAAGCCATGCTAACTGACAGAATCACTAGACATGCCTGTATTCTAAAGCAATGATAATAGTGATGCAAGCACAGTGATTCAAAACGATTCCCATGGAAGCAAATATAGTAACAAAGGATGAAAGATCGAAGACTACCTCATTCATGTACAACCACATGATGCAGAAAAATGTGCTCCTGGGAAATCAGAAAGTCATCTGAAAAGGGTAATCTCATGACCGGCAAAATCAGTCCTTACAGTATGACAACAAACCATATAAAGTCTTATAGTATGTTAATCTCACCATTACAGTAATCTGATAAGATGCCAGGCCCACAAATGACAAACTTTTCAAAAAGGATGAAATACAAACAGGTAACTCATTCCACATGCAATAACTACTAATGATTTCAGGACTTCTGGAACCCACAGGTTTAAACGAACTGTTTCTATAACACACCCTTAAACATACAATAATTACAATAAAGACTTTTATTAAACAACTACAGTGAGAACCTTGGAAATTGAAAGCATATTGTCTACCAATTAACTAGTAGCTACTCAACAAGAAAACATACTGCTATGGGGGGGAATAGAAATCCCTCTGCACTGATGTTCAAGGGTACAGATTATTCTTTCTGCCGTTTCTTTAAAGTAAGACACAGAAATATAGACAATGAAGCATGTTCTTTCCCCCAGGCTGTGAATTAAGAGGTAAACGTGGTCTATATCAATAGTTCACACTAACTTAAAAGAAATAAGGTAATTACTCATCTTTTTTTTTTGAGTTGGAGTCTCACTCTGTTACCCAGACTAGAGTGCAGTGGCCGCTCCCGGCCACCACAGCCTCGACCTGCTGGGCTCCGGCAATCCTTCCACCTCAGCCTTCCAAGTAGCTGGAATTACAGAGGCACGCGCCACCACGCCCGGCTAATTTTTGATTTATTGTAGAGATGAGGTCTCCCCAAGTTACCCAGGTGGGTCTCGAACCAGCAGGCTAAGGCAATCCACTTACCTCAGCCTCCCAAAGGTGCGGGATTACAGGCTGAGCCATTGAGCCCGGCCATCGTTTTTTTTTTTTTTTTTGAGTCAGAGTTGTACTGTCACCCAGGCTGGAGTGCAGTGACACACTCATGATCACCGCAGCCTCGACCTGCTGGGCTCAGGTGATCCTTCGACCTCAGCCTTCCAAGTAGCTGGAACCACAGGTGCACACTACCACACCTGGCTAATTTTTTGATTTACTGTAGGTCTTGCCAAGTTGCCCAGGCTGGTCTTGAACCCCTGGGTTCAAGAATCCTCTGGCCTCCACCTCCCACAAAGTGCTGGGATTACAGGTGTGAGCCACCACAACCACCTGATGATTTCAAGGGGAGTTTCCCATTGTCACAATGTGTGTTTACAGCATACCAGTATACTCACCTTTCTTCACCTGATAAAGCATAGTTAAGGTCTCTTCAGTGGTTAGTGCTGTAACATGTAGATTATTAACCGTTGGTATCTGATTGGCCAAGGCAGTAAGTTCATGAAAATGGGTTGCAAACATGCAAAAAGCACCGATCTTTGTTGCAATGTAATCTGATATAGCCCATGCTAGCCCAAATCCATCGTAGGTAGAAGTTCCTCTTCCCAATTCATCTATGATTATTAATGAATCTTTGGTTGCAGACCTGAAGCACATTAATTACATGAAATTTCCCATGACATAAAATTTGGTAATGCCAAAAACAAAATTAAGCCAATACATTGGGAAAGAAAAACCAGAAACATAACAGATTAACTATCTTAATATATAAAGTCAATAAGAAGTACTAAAACTTTTAAGACAAAAATAGGCATGAACAAGAATAATGAATGAAAAGAAAACAAAGGGTGAACAGATATTTTTAAGCTTTCAATCAATCACCCTAGTAAACCAAAGAAATTCTAAATAAAGCAGCCATCATTCATTTCATGCCAATCAAATCAGCCAAGATTAAAAAAAATAAAACCGAATGAAGATGGGACCACAGTGTGAAGACACGAACATATATACACATACACATGGTGGTCATGTAAACTGTGTGCCTGCCACAGCCCTACCAACACCAGCTATAACCATTCTTTTCTCATTCTTACCCAAATGTGAGGCAGGAAAAAACATTTTAAATTAGAGAATTGCATAGTCTTTCATGTGCTCATTGGTCATTTATTTTTCTTATTTCTTTTAATCTTTTAAGTTGTGAATATTAACTTGCTGCTTAATTACCATACAAAACTTTGGTATTGCTTTCATAATTCCTTAAAAACAACAGAACTCTTGGAGAAGAAACATCCATAACTATTAGGCTAATGTGACCAGAAAAATAAACAAAGAAGTAGAATTTTTGTCACTAGGGCCTTGAAAATTGAAAAGGACTTGGGTAAATGGCAAGAAGGACCATTTCACTGAGTGGTGCAAGCAAAAGCATGGTGGTAGGAGAGATTTATAAGGTGAACTACTGCCAGGCACCTTAAAGAGATAGCTTTAAAATCAAAGAAGTTTTCTATGACTATCATGTATCCCACTTTGAAGATAATACAAAATTGGCTGGGTGCGGTGGCTCACGCCTTTAATCCCAGCACTTTGGGAGGCCAAGGTGAGAGGACTGCCTGAGCCCACGGGTTCAAGACCAGCCTGGGCAACTTGGAGAGACCTCATCTCTATAATTAAAAAAACAGAAAAAAGATAATACAAAGCGCATAAAGTTCACAGGAAAACTACTAGACTAAGACACATGTTCTTAGGCATAGTATAGGCAATTGGCAGGTACACTTGTCACAGGGATGTTGTACATTTTTACTTTCAGGGGACTGGGAGATGTACTTACCTGAGGATAGAAGCAGTTTCTAACATCTCAGCCATGAATGTGGAGACTCCTTTCAACTGACTGTCCCCAGCCCCTACCCGGGCCAAGACGCAGTCCACAATGGACACTTCGGCCGACTCACATGGCACAAAACACCCAATTTGGGCCATGAGTACTATCACCCCAGTTTGGCGAATGTATGTTGATTTACCTCCCATATTGGGGCCTATAAAACAAATTATATCAAAAAGCAAGATTTTAAATTTCTTTCTGCTACTGATAACAGACTACTAGTCCTAAACGGGACACTGATGACTAATCACCTAAGTGACAGCGGCATGGCATACTAGAGGCAGAACCATAGGGTATTCAAAGATGTTGGATAAAGCAAGCTATTTTTATTTATTCAGACAAGTTGATACTGGGCCTTCTATCAAGAGGAGTCATGAAAAATACACTTTACCGTAATCTGACTGTGACCTTGAAAGACCATACACACATTTCCCCATGCCTCACAGAGCTGCCTGCAGAGTAATTAAATGACTTTCAGAAAGGCAGTATAGTCCTAATTGATTGACCCAGCACCGTTTCTCATTAGTAAATGGGGCGCTAGTGAATGAATCCGAACAGTCAAATTCTTCAAATCACTTAAACCCCACACCAGAGCCCTAAGACATGCTCCTTCCTTTGAACGCGCAATTTTATTTGTGGAATTGACTTAGATAAACAACTTGAAAACTCATTTAAGGGAAATAAAATACAATCATTGACTGTTTCCCAAATACATCTGCCCCCAAACTCCTACTCCTCTTTTTGTTTTCTAGAATCTGATTAAGAGTTCTCAAAACACCTCAGCTGACATATGATATTAGTCTGTATGCAAGACTACTTTTTCAAATTTCACATGAACACAGCTCGTTTTAAGAAGAATTCCTCCCCTAACTGAGGGCCTACAGCAGCCAATACTGCCTGACCTGCAATGACCTCATTATTGAAAGGACTGGCTCAAAGGTAAGCTTAAGGAGGAAGGATGTTTGTTTTGAAAAGCTCTGAACCTGTGGAACACAGTTTCACATGAATACAATATTCTCCCATGAGCTTTTATCCTGCCTTCCAAATCTTCCCTGTAATCCAAAGATGAATACATTATTAACTAGCATGAATAACATGTTCTTTTTTCTAATGTCAAGGACTGAGATTTTCTTCATCAATTTTAAATATATTTCTACTCCAACATAAAAAAAGAAAAGCCCATAAAATAGGGTCTTTACCAGTGATGATGTGGAACATCTGTTTCTCTTTTTCAAAGTATACATCATTAGGAATAAATGCAACTTCATCTTGAACTTCAACACAAGCATGTCTGGATGCTTTCAGTATAATTCTTCCTTGTCCTTTCTCCAAAATGATTGGTCGCACATATGGAATAGGTGCTCCATTTGATACATGAGCAAAGCTCACAACAGCATCTAGCTGAGCTAACACATCATTGAGTGTTTGCATTGGTTCCACGTAGCCTATATAGAAATAAAAAGAGAAAATGTACACAGAAATATTGAATATAAAAAACAGGTGTAAAGTATAGGAATAAGTTTAATTCCCCCATTTAGGAATTCAAAACCCATTTCCCAAATTACTTGTCTTTTAAAAAGCTAACAAAAGTTAGCCGTAATAAAATCTGAGAGGAGCCACACATGGTGGCTTGTGCCTGTAACAGGGAGGCTGAGGCGGGAGGAATGCCTGAGCTCAGAAGTTTGAGACCAACCTGGGCAATATGGCGAAATCTTGTCTCTACATTAAATTTTTAAAAATTAGCCAAGCGTGGTGATGCATGCCTGTAGCCCCAGCTACTTGGAAAGCTGAGATGGAAGGATCACGTGCACCCAGCCATGATCATGCTACTGCATTTCAGCCTGGGTGACAGAGAGACTAAAAAAAGAAAGAAAGAAAAAAGGAAAAGAAAGGAACATCTAATCTAAAATTCAACATGGAAGCCAGGCACAGTGGCTCTTGCCTGTAGTCCCAGCATTTTGGGAGGCAGAGGTGAGAGGATTGCCTGAGCCCAGGGGTTCGAGACCAGCCTAGGCAATTTGGTGAGACCTTGTCTCTACAATAAATCAAACAATTAGCTGGGCGTGGTGGCACGTGGCTGTAGTCCCAGCATTTTGGGAGGCAGAGGTGAGAGGACTGCCTGAGCCCAGGGGTTCGAGACCAGCCTAGGCAATTTGGTGAGACCTTGTCTCTACAATAAATCAAACAATTAGCTGGGCGTGGTGGCACGTGGCTGTGGTTCCAGCTATCTGGAAGGCTGAGGTGGAAGGATCACCTGAGCCCAACCACTGCCCTTCAGCCTAGGTGACAGGGTGAGACTCCAACTCAAAAAAAATTTTAAAAATAAAATTAAACATAGGGCTGGAATATGTTGCCACATTCTTCCCCACTATGAATAGATCATACAAATTGAGTGATGCCCTCCCCTAACAATAAAATAATAAAACTGGACAGCTGCTTATTAAAAAAAAAAAAAAATGGTAGCGCTTTGGAGAAAACAAACAAGTAGAAGCCTGCATAATATTTTGACAAGGTAATAGAAGCATGGTGCAGTGATATCCAAGGCATTCTCTCAATTTTAAAGTGCACCTTTCCCTACATTTTAAGAATCTGCAGCTAGAATGGCACCTCAAATCATCATAAGAAACATGCAAGCACCAGGTGGCAAGATGGAACATGACCTTCAAGGCCTGTACAGATGCAAACTAGCTGAAAAGATGGTTAGCTGAGTTTTTTTTTTTTTTAATTTTTTTATCAGTATCACATGCAGAGAATTTCAGCATAAATTTAGACCTCTAATTGTCACTTAAAACATTTTTAACATTCTACTGTGCTAGAGTATTAACATTAAAAGCTATTAATACATATATGAAAAAGTTTCTGACATATGCTAGATGAATAAGTGAAGATAATAACAATGGTTAAAAATTTCAGAATAGATTCTAAATGTTAACAGATTGAAGGGGTTGGTGTAACAAATCCACATGTCACAGACTATCACACAGACATCAATCATGTCAAAAGCTTCAAAAAATGTTCAAGAGAAAAGTGTTTAATTTTAGGAAAACACAGAATTATGAGTTTAAGTGGCAGGAAATCTGACACATTTTTGATTCCCTTGTTCCTCATAAAAGTGATAAAATGTTTTGAAAATAAAAATTAAGTTATGAATGGCCAAGTACACATAACTCTCTTCCTGTTTCACTACACTTTGTTCCTTTTTTATTTAACAGATTTTTTTAAAAGAAAGAAAAAGAAGACCTCACATTACTTGATCATATAGCAATAGAAACCTGTAAAAATTAAAACATCAGTGGAGTACTTACTATAATTGCTTTAGAACTCATAAAATTTTAGCATATCGACAGTAGGTTTATTCTAAAAAAGAAAACTAAAGCCGGGCTCGGTGGCTCAGCCTGTAATCCTGCGCCTTTGGGAGGCTGAGGTGAGTGGATTGTCTGAGCCCGCAGGTTCGAGACCCGCCTGGGCAGTGAGACCTCATCTCTACAATAAATCAAAAAATCAGCCGGGCGTGGTAGCGCATGCCTGTAATTCCGGCTACTTGGAAGGCTGAGGCAGCAGGATCGCGGGAGCCCAGCAGGTCGAGGCTGCGGTGGCCAGGAGCGGCCACTGCACTCCAGTCTGGGCAACAGAGTGAGACTCCAACTCAAAAAAGAAAACTAAAAGCACCATAATTAAGAGTTTATACTCAGTACCTTACATGATCTGCTCTTAACAGCATCACCATTTCTGGTTTAATAGAAGGTAAAAAAAAAAAAATTTAAAGCGTGCCACTGCACTCCAGTCTGGACGACAGAGTGAGACTCAAACTCAAAAAAAAAAAAAAAATAGTTCATAATGTGTATTATTAGGCCCCGAAGAGGTTGTGTTTAAATCCAGGTTGGTTTCTAATATAAAACCTTCCATTTAAAAGTTAAAATAGGCCAGGCTCGGTGGCTCAGCCTGTAATCCCAGCACTTTGGGAGGCTGAAGCGAGTGGATTGCTCGAGTCTGCGGGTTCAAGACCCACCCGGGCAACTTGGTGAGACCTTGTCTCTACAATAACTCAAAAATTAGCTGGGCATGGTAGCGCATGCCTGTAGTTCCAGCTACATGGAAGGCTGAGGCGGAAGGATCACTGGAGCCCAGCAGGCTGAGCTGCGGTGACCGGAAGCGTCCCAGTGTACTCCAATCTGTGCGAGAGTGAGACTCCAACTAAAAAAAAAAAAAGCTAAAAATGTAGACCCTTTACTCTGGCTAGGTGCTTAATTAATATCAGTTAATTTTATTTTTTTAAAGAAAGATTCACAGTTCAAATAAATGGTGTGCATAGGATTTTTAAAGATGAAATCTAGCCTGAAAAATGTAGTTCAGCTAGAAGATTATCGTGCCAGTTACCTGTTACCACTAAGCAAAAATATAATCTTTACAAATCAATCCCATTCATTTTAACAATACACAAAGCATATTAAAATAAAATACTTTGAGTTTTAGGTTTCCTGGTGATTTACTATGAACATTCATAACACTAAGACAATTACAGAACTATTCATGCCCATAATTTTCTCCAAAAATGACTCTTTACCCTTAAATAATTTAGCCTGTAGATCCTGAGATCAAGGACACCCTCCTACTTAATCATAGTATTGTCATTCACACACACAAGAAATCTGAACACCGATACCACTGTCTCACATTAAACTTTCTCCATTTGTCCCAATAGTGCTCTCTGTAGCTATTTCCCAACTCCAAGCCCTAGCCACAAATCCAACTGACAACGTCTACTGCACTTGGTTGTCCTGTCTCTTCAAGTCCTTTCCATTCCTTTTTTGCTGCCATAACCCTGACATTTTTTTAAAAGCTCAGGCCTTAAAAAGACTGTCCCACAATCTAAATTGACCAGATTTTTTTCTTCTTGTTTATAATCAGGTTAAGTACTTTTGTCAAGAACACTACACAGGTCATATTGTGCCCTTCCCTCGATGTAACATCAGGAGGTGCTTAATATCATTGTCCCGTAACTGGTGATACTCTCTTTCATCATTTAAGGTTTAAATAAAAATCTTATTGGTGAAGGTGGTTCTTATATGTTTTTAAAAGGCACAATAAAGGTTACAGTTAATATACACACAACGACAGGCAAAGCCTTCCAACATACCACCACCTACCCTGTGCTAAACATATGTCCATTCTACTGTAAGGACAATAACATAGTGCCAGGTTGTGCTGTTCCTTTCATTACAAGAAAATAATCTCAAAGGGTGCCTCCAGAATGACCTCTGAAAATCTGCAAAATGATGGGAAGAATCTGCAAAAGAACTCAAAAAAGCTTGTCCCACGTGTAACTGACATGTGATGGTGGTATTTACTTCCATAACCTAGAGCACATGCCCCATAGATAATACCAGCGTCTGGTGCCCTTGGTGCTTCCTTTCCTTGTTACAACTGTAGTAACTTTTGTGTTTTTCCGTATATTTTGCGTCAATGAGCTAGAGTAACTGCCAGTAAAATGTCCTACTATAATACAGCACGTCGTGTCTTATTTTGTAGGTAGCCAAGCAAATTATTAAACAGTCACAATGTACAATGGCTTATAAAACACCATGAAACATTCTTCAAACATTCTTATATTTTTTCTATTACCCTAAACTAGGTCATATTCAGAACCTTTAATGTACTGGGGTTCTATTCAACTTACCTGAAGAGATATTAACAATTTCTTTAACAATGGCATCCTGGGCTTCCTCATACTCGGTTTTATTCTTGGTATATTCTTCATTTAAGGAAGTCAATTTGCTGTAAATTAAGATAATGGCTTTATTAAGAACATTAAAACATCTACTAGAAACCATACGCACCACATAAAACATTCAGAGTACTTATCCTGTGAAGCAGCAAAACAATGAGAACTCAAATGAAAATGCAAGTGGCCAACTCGTTAGGGACGGACATAGCTGAAATTCAGTTTACTGATGCTCTTTTGGCTATTTGGAACAGCACCCTGGCACAATTCCTGTTGTAGCAATTACTCCTTTGAGCATAATTGATCTGTGCCCTTTTATAAAATGTTTAAATGCAAACCTTATTTAGGCTGGAGGCCACACCCCTTTCAAAACACACTACTGTAACATAACTATCTTATAATACTGAATGTTTTCCAAAGAAGGAAAATGCTTTGAAAACAAAATCTTATTGAGAAACTTCAAGCCGGGCTCGGTGGCTCAACCTATAATCCCTCGCTTTGGAAGGCTGAGGTGAGTGGATTGCCTGAACCCGCGGGTTCGAGACCCGCCAGGGCGAGACCTCATCTCTACAATAAATCAAAAATTAGCTGGGCATGGTAGCGCGCGCCTGTAGTTCCAGCTACTTGGAAGGCTGAAGTGGAAGGATCGCTGGAGCCCAGCAGGTCGAGGCTGCGGTGGCCGGGAGCGGCCACTGCCCTGCAGCCTGGGGGACAGAGTGAGACTCCAACTCAAAAAACAAAAACAAAAACACTAAATTTAATTTAATTTAATTTTAAAAAGAGAAACTTCAAAGGAAAATTAAAATTACAGGTTGAAATAAAACATACTGAAGGAAGACAAGAATAAAAAGCGCAAAAAAGAGTCACTGGCATCAAAGAAGGAATTAAATTAAGAAGAACAAAGGAGGGCCATAGAAGAGAAAGGAAAGAGGGAGAAGTAATCAGAAGTGGGAAGAAATCAGGGCAAGAACTGTGATCTTGATGGAATTGATAAGTGGCACAGCAGTCATGTATAGCTCAAGAACCATGCATGGTCAAGAAGCAGCACAAAAGCTTTCCGTGAATAGGCAAATGCAAAGAATGAAAGAAAATCAAAAGGCAAAGATAAAAGTGAGACCACTGTGTGAAGGGACAAGATGCAAGATTGAAAAGTAGAGATCGGCTGGGCGCAGTGGCTCAAGTCTGATATCCTAGTACTTTGGGAGGTTGAGGTGAGAGAATTTCCTGAGCTTGCAGGTGATGTGGTGAGACCTTGTCTCTACAACAAATAAAAAAAATTAGCTGGGCATGGTAGCGCGTGCCTGTAGTTCCAGCTACTTGGAAGGCTGAGGCGGAAGGGCTGCCAGAGCCCAGCAGGTCAACACGGGGGTGGCCGTGAGTATGCCACTGCACTCCAGCCTGGGCAACGGGGTGAGACTCCAACTCTCAAAAAAAAAACAGAGATGGAGCTGGGCGTGGTGACTCATGCCTTTACGTAATCCCAGCACTTTGGGAGGCTGAGGTGAGTGGATTGCCTGAGCCCACGGGTTCGAGACCCACCTGGGCAACTTGGCGAGACCTCATCTCTACAATAAATCAAAAAATTAGCTGGGTGTGGTAGCGCACGCCTGTAATTCCAGCTACTCGGAAGGCTGAGGCAGAAGGATCGCCGGAGTCCAGCAGGTGGAGGCTGCGGTGGCCAGGAGCGGCCACTGCACTCCGGTCTGGGCGACAGAGTAAGACTCCAATGCAAAAGAAAAAAAAACCAGCAGAGATGGGCAAGGACCAGATTATAATCAGTGACTAGCATAATCTGGTCCTTGCCCAGCTCTCTTTTTTTTTTTTTTTTTTTTTTCAAAACTGAAAGATTCACTCACTGATTATGATTATGCTAGTCATAATCAGTGAGTGAATTTTTCAGTTTTGGAACCATGTGGCTATTCAGTCCAATCTCTGTTATATGTAATTAATGATGATTATAACACCCCAAGAGTTCTGTGTCTTATCTAAGGCAAAATATATACATTTCTTGAACCAGAAGGGACAGAGTGTGCTAGAAAAACAACAGAACTAAGTCTGGCAACAGAAGATCTAGGTTTGAGCATCTACTTGCTATCTACCTCAGGGGAATTGAAGTCTTAGCTTCTTTGTCTATAAAATGAGGGAAATATACCTTTCCCATTTTCTTTACAGAATTGTTATGAGGAACAAACTAAGTAGGTTGTTTTCTTTACTGGGATGTCTGAACACCTAGAATATTTACATATAATAAACACTCAAAATACTTGCAAAATAAATGGATGACAATGGATCACATATATACAACCTGAAAAGAATTGGGAATATTCAGGAGGGTGGGAATAGGGCAGGCATAGGTTCTAGAAAAATACAGAAAGATAAAAGATAAAAGTCTCTTCCATTAGTCACAGAAAGTTTTTTTGTAATAGCTTCTGAATGATTTGCTTCAGAAGCTTCCTGAGATCAGGCAGAGAAAAGACAGAAAATAACTGGCATTTTTTTCAACAGGGAACATGATTTTTAAAAAAAGTTATAATCTAATAAGTGGTCTCATTAAGGCTGGTAGATTGCTCCCCAAACTAAATATCCAACTGGAATACCAAATAATTGTTTAGCTTGATAAATAATAGCAAAGTTTTCTTAGAGAAAAATAACCGTGAAAGAAAGTAAAGCAGAGACCCCAGGGGAAACAAGCTCTAATAGATATAGAAACGCATTATAAAATAGTAATACAGTCTCTAACAGAGTGACAAGGAATGGTGAGACAAGTGAAAGTATCTTTAATGTAAACTCGAAGTACCACTTCAGCCAATGAGGAAAAGACGGATTATTTAACATACATCATGTCAACAGCTAACTATGCCCGTCAGAAAGCAAGCTTGACTTGTTCCGGAGGTCAACATTGACGAACACACAAGGTAAAACCTCCTTACACAGAACATTTACATCAGATAATCCATAGAACTACCAAAGGCTTAAAAATAAAGACTTGCAAACCTGTTGGTAAATTTAACACCATTCTTCTGGATGTCTACTGTACTGAAGTTTTTATTGTTACGAAGAACTTTTTCTTCCTTACAGGTTACACGAAAGTAATATCCAAACTGTGCACTGGAATCCAATTTAATCTGTTTGCCAGGGTCCAAGCCTTTAGGATTAGGAAGAAAATAAAAAGTATGCCATAAATACCTACAGTCATTTTTCTTTTCTTTTCCTTTTTTGAGTTGAAGTCTCACTCTGTTGCCCAGGCTGGAGTGCAGTGGCACGCTCACGGCCACTGCAGCCTCAACCTGCTGGGCTCAGGTGATCCTTCTGCCTTAGCCTTCCAAGTAGCTGGAACCAAAGGCACATGCCACCAAACCCAGCTAATTATTTATTGTAGAGACAAGGTCTCGCCAAGTTGCCAAGGCTGGTCTTGAATCCCTGGGCTCAGCAATCTTCTCGCTTTGGCCTCCCAAAGTGCTGTGCAATCACTAAACCTAAATAGTGAAAAATGTACTTTTATTACGTGACAGTAACACTGGAAACTACTAGCTAACTGGAAATACTCAGATTCTGCTTTACTTGAAAGTTACATGAATGAAGGATATCTGTAAAATCCTTAAGCTCCTTTATGAATGCTGGCTTCTGACATGGAGGCTGGTTTCTCAGTAAACCTACCCAAAGCTGCAGAACACCAGCACTGGGCAACACACACTCGTGCCAGATGCTATGGGCACCCGAGGCTGGGTTAAAGCATGGCCCCACCTCCAATCGGTCGTGCATGAGAATTCTTTTCTTAATCAAAGCCATTTCTTTGGAACTAATATAAAGTATAATCAATATAATTTCCAAACAAAAACGTAAAATTCTGACAATGAAATTCTAGGAATAGTACAAATATTTTCTGTTTAAGTCCAGGAAACTTCACAAAGCAAACAACCTGAGCGATCGGCTAGACATTCCACATCTAAGATATTTGAGTTTTGATAAAGTATGGCCTCTCTTCATATTTCATTCATCAATGTGATCTTCAGACCACAAACTAGAAGAGAGATGGGGCCAGGCTCGGTAGCTCAGTCTGTAATCCCAGCGCTTCGGGAGGCCAAGGTGAGTGGATTGCCTGAGCCCATGGGTTCCAGACCCGCCTGGGCAACTTGAGAGACCTCATCTCTACAATAAATCAAAAATTAGAGCCAGGCTCGGTGACTTAGCCTGTAATCCCATGCCTTTGGGAGGCTGAGGTGAGTGGATTGTCTGAGCCCGTGGGATCGAGACACGCCTGGGCAACTTGGTGAGACCTCATCTCTACAATAAATCAAAAAATTAGGCGGGTGGGGTAGCCCGCGCCTGTAGTTCCAGCTACTCAGAAGGCTGAGGCGGAAGGATGGCTGGAGCCCGGCAGGTTGAGGCTGCGGTGGCCAGGAGCGGCCACTGCACTCCAGTCTGTGCGACAGAGTGAGACTCCAACTCAAAAAAAAAAAAAGAAGAGAGATGGTATTCGCAAATTTATTTGCTGAAGCATGGCTATCAAATGTTATTACAGTGGCAAACACTAAAGGCAGATCTCAAGCAACCAGAGAGGAAACAGGCAGTAGAGATCCATGCAAATAAAACCGAAGTGATCTGGACTAAGGAATCTCTCAACGCACTCAAAGGAAAAGGGCAGTTCCACAAGGACTGCGATCAGTGATCAAACTTTCTAAATAAAGAACCATTTTCAGCCGGGCTCAGTGGCTCAGCCTGTAAGCCCGTGCCTTTGGGAGGTTGAGGTGAGTGGATTGCCTGAGCCCGCGGGTTCGAGACCTGCCTGGGCAGGCAAGACCTCATCTCTACAATAAACCAAAAAATTAGCCGGGCGTGGTAGTGCGTGCCTGTAATTCCGGCTACTCGGAAGGCTGAGGCGGAAGAATCGCTGGAGCCCAGCAGGTCGAGGCTGCGGTGGCCGGGAGCGGCCACTGCACTCCAGTCTGGGCGACAGAGTGAGACTCCAATTCAAAAAAAAAAGAACCATTTTCATAAGTACATGATACAGTTTGCTGCTTATATATATGTATTTCAATGTAGTGTTAACAACAGCATCATCACTAAACATGCAAGATGACAGTATTTACAAAATACATACTATACGTGTTTAATACTTGCATATTTAAGATGCCATGAGGATCCAACATTATTTAGTATGAGGTTCATGTCCTCAAAGTATAAAAGTATTTCTGATGACATGCAGCTCTAAGGACCAAAGCACTGAATTTAACCTAATTTTACAAAACCACAGAAATTAAATAATTGTAAAAAGCTTCACAAATAAAAATCTCCAAATTAAACTAGAACCCATGTTCCCCCATTCCCAGCCTAATGCCTTTTACACTAAATGTTTACTTCTCAATTTGAGTGCTGTTTATGTTGCTTTCAACATAATTTTTTATTAAAAAACATATTTGATTCTAAAATGAAATTAAACAATTTAAACTGTAGAAACAGATGTCTGCCATAATTTTCTCATTAGTATTCAATAAAATAGACCAAGAGAAGGCAATAATTAATATATACTATGATGCATTGTCAGTAGAATTCTTTCTTCATAAAACAAATATCAGGCCAGATATGTGGTAGCTCACATTTGTAATCCCAGTACTTCGGGAGGCCAAGACAAGAGGACTGCCTGAGCCCAGGAATTCAAGGCCCGCCTGGACAACTTGATGAGACATTGTTTCTACAATAAATCAAAAAATTCAGCCAGGTGTGGTGGTGCATGCCTGTAATTCCAGCTACCTGGAAGGCTGAGATGGAGGGATCACCTGAGCCCAGCAGGTGCAGGCTGCAGTGGCTGTGATCCTGCTTCTGCATTTCAGCCTGGGCAACTGAGTGAGACTCCAACAATAACAACAACAACAAAAAATCAGATGAAAAATTTTCAGTCAACCAAATTAATGTATGGTGAAACACAGAAATCTGTAGGTGCTTAAATTTTCTAGTTAAGTCAAAAACCATCAAGAAAACACACAATAGCTTTATCTCCAGTTACTTAAACTCTCTGAGTCTCAACATTCTTGGCTATGATATGAGGAAGGTGAACTTCAAGAGCTTTAAGGCCAAAATTCTTAATCTAGGATCCAATTCATATTTGAAAACTATCAGCAAATTTGTTGTGTATGTAGGTAAGGGCATATTTCTGGAAAGAGAATCCATAGTTGTCATCAGAATACCCAGAAGGTGAAGTATTTCAGCTCCAAGGAGTTTTCTAGTTCTAACATTCTAGGATTCATTTATTCATTCAACAAACATGTGTAAGATGCTCAATACAAAGAGGTTTAAAAATCCAGAATGAAGCATTGTGAAATCTTAGGGAATTAATAATCTAGTGTAGAAGACAGGCATTTAAAAAAAATTGGTATTAATGAAGTGCTTGGAAATCCCAAAGCCAAATCAATGAACTATTCTTGAGATCTGGGCTTACAGTGAAGGTGACAACTAAAATCAGTCTTATTTAAATGACATCACGCAGGGGCGTGCTGGGTGATTTCTGTTTGGTAGGAATGTGGAATTGTCTTGGGGATGGGGAGCTGTAAAATAATTCTGGCACAAGTGTGGATACTGTGTAGACAGAAGATTTATTCCCACCTCCAAAGACTCATTCTTACCAAGTTCTCTGGCTGCACTTAGCAAAGTTGATTGCATCTTTTTTTCCAAGTCATTCATTATTTCTCTTAATTCACTCAGATTAGGATCAAATGAAGGTTTTACAAGAAATTCATGATTTTCTACCTATAAACAGAAAAAATAACAAAGTGTATAAATGATGGGTAAAGACAGAAATCATAAAGCAATGTTCTCTTCTACCTACTTAATTTGAATTTTACTAATGCTTTAAGTTAAGTGACTCACTACCCAGTTACAACTATTGAGGAGTTTACCCAGTTACAACTATTGAGGAGTTTCTATTTATTAAGAGGTATAAAATGCTGTTTAATAGGAGCTTACAGATCTAGCTGCAAAAAAAGCTATTCACATGAAACAAATACAATACTAGTCAGGCACAGATTCCTAATATATGCTATATTTTTACTTATATTTTTCCTAAACAACATCTGAAATATTTTCCCTAAACCATGTTTCAAATGTTGTTTCCCCAACATTACTAAAGAATGTTCAATGTTCAAAACCTACTACAGAATGCACGGTTTTGCCCATACCAAGGATCTATCTACTTAGGAATCTCAAAGTTGGCTCTAAAAAAACCCAAGAATTTAATTTCTTGAAACTGAAAAAGTTCATCAAACTCTCATAATTTAAAACCATACTCTTAAATACTTTCATTAAGTTCTTACTTGTTATAATCAGCAAAAAATCATATTCAAAAACAGTCTCGGCTGGGTCCAGGGGCTCACTCCTGTAATCCCAGAGCTTTGGGAGGCTAAAGAGGGAGGATGACATGAGCCCACGAGTTCAAGATCAGCCAGAAAAATATAGTGAGACTTTGTCTCTACAAAAACAAAAAGATTTGCCTGGTGTGGTAGTGCACACTTGCAGTCCCAACTACTTGTAAGGCTGAGGCAAAAGGATCACCTGAGCCCAGGAGGTCGAGGCTGTCTGAGCTGTGATGGTGCCATTGTACTCCAGCCTGGGAAACAGAGCAAGACCACAAATCAAAAAATAAAAATAAATAAATACATAAATAAAAGAAGAATCGATAAGAGACAAACTAGTATAAAAAGTAAATCTAATATTAAAAGAGCAATTTATTCCTAATGACTGTTCAATAGGAATCCTTTCTTGAACAAAACTAAAATTCAAATAAAATTATGAAAGAATATTTTTAAAAGTCTATCTTTACTAGGCATTGAAAACTATTAAATAGACAGTTCTATTTAAAGGCTTAATATAAGAGAATGAGTCAGTTTTCTAAAGATGATAAAAAAATTCAATAAATGAGGTTGAGATAAATTGCTCCTAATTACTATCCACTTAGAGTACATCTTCACATGCCAGAAGTGAACTACATAATGAATAAGAAATTAAAATCAAATTACAGAAAGCTAGAAAAAAAAAGAGAATATTTATCAAACAACTTTCTCAATTTTAACGAGTCAATATAAAATATTAAAATTTAAATGCTTGAATAATTTGTTTTTTAAAATTTATTTTTTTAAAAGCTGCCTTTGAGAAAAAAATTGATTTTTTAAAAATGAAAGATGTGTAAAAAGTAGCTTTGCAAAATGTAGAAATAGGTTAAGAAGAAAGGCACTCAGCCAGGCTTGGTGGCTCAGCCTGTAATCCCAGCACTTTGGGAGGCCGAGGCGAGTGGATTGCCTGAATGCACGGGTTTGAGACCAGCCCGGACAACTTGGTGAGACCTTGTCTCTACAATAAAATAAAAAATAGCTGGGCATGGTAGCGCGCACCTGTAGTTCCGGCTACTTGGAAGGCTGAGGCGGAAGGACCGCCGGAGCCCAGAAGGTTGACGCTGGGATGTCTGTGAGCATGCGTACCACTGCACTCCAGCCTGGGCAACACAGTGAGACTCCAACTCAAAAAAATCAAACAAACAACAACAACAACAACAAAAAGAAAGGCATTCATTCACATGTGCAGGAAAAACATCAAGGTCATTAAGTGGGCAAGCCAAAGCACCCACCACTCACAGATATGAAAGTAATTTAGTAAACTAATCCACAGAACAATGCTATAATCATCAAACATACGGATATTTCAGCAATCTTCAGATCATTCTACAGCTTGTGTGTGTGTGTGTGTGTGTGTGTGTGTGTGTGTTGGCATCTCACTCTGTCGCCCAAACTGGAGTGCAGTGGCCACTCCCAGCCACCGCAGCCTCGACCTGCTGGGCTCCGGCAATCCTTTCGTCTCAGCCTTCCAAGTAGCTGGAACTACAGGCGCACACTACCACGCCCAGCTAATTTTTTTTTTGGATTTATTGTAGAGATGAGGTCTCGCCAAGTTGCCCAGGTGGGTCTTGAACCCGTGGACTCAGGCAATCCACTCACCTCAGCCTCCCAAAGCGCAAGATTACAGGCTGAGCCACTGAGCCCTGCTTACAGTTTATTATTATTTCTTATTTTTTTTGAGTTGGAGTCTCACTCAGTCGCCCAGACTGGAGTGCAGTGGCCGCTCCCGGCCACCGCAGCCTCGCCTACTGGGCTCCAGCGATCCTTCCGCCTCAGCCTTCTGAGTAGCCGGAATTACAGGCGCCTGCTACCACGCCCGGCTAATTTTTTTTGATTTATTGTAGAGACGAGGTCTCACCAAGTTGCCCAGGCGGGTCTCGAACCCGCGGGCTCAGGCAATTCATTCACCTCGGCCTCCCAAAGTGTGGGATTACAGGCTGAGCCACCGAGCCCAGCTACAGCTTATTATTTTTAAGAAAAAGAAACTATTACCAAATACTGATGAGGCTATTGTGAAATTTGTATGCTCATTCATTTCTAGTGAGAGTCTAAGTTGGTATAACTTTTAAAAATAAAACAAGCAATATGAAACAAAACTCAGGGCTATTTGTTATACTCTGACATAGCAAGTCTCCTCCTAGGAATTCAATCAAAGGAAATAAGGCAACAGAAGCAAAACAACAAAACTAAATAAATCCCTGAAGACTTATTTGTTACAGCAGACCTTAAAAATAAAAAAAATCACAGTATCTGCATATGGTATGTAAGTAAAACACAATATTGTGCAGCAATTTAAGTAGATAATGAAGATTATCTACAAATAAGGACCAAGGCTTATATAATTCAGGGAAAAGATAATGTAATAATATTGGACTGAAACTGTGCTACAGAATTTGCCTCTTCCTATGAATCTAAGGGGATAATCAGAGCCAGGCCAAGTTCCTATCCTTACCCCTCACTTTCCAAAAAGCTATTGGTGTAAGTAAATAAATCCTAAACACTCACTAGTAACTTGGAGAAAAAAAACTGAGTGGTATCCTTACATTTTTCTTCCTCAGATAGGAGAATACTGATTTAAAACGGCTGCTGGGGAAACCCAAGTAAAACAAGGGAAAGTAAACCACTAGCTTCTCATTTATCTAAAATAAATACTGCAAGGGCCATACACCAAACGGGGCATCCTCAGTAATACGTCACTTCCCCCAAACAATCCAGGATAACAGAATATACCACCCTACTTAGGTATTCTTACCTAGAACTGAGGAAGTCTAACCACACAACATCAGACCTCTACCATCTACAAGCTGTTTCTCCAACAGTAACACCTACCTACGAAACTCAGTCATGGCATCAAGTTACACAGGAGGGGACAGAGAAGAAACTCGAGCTTGGAACTCAAACATGGGATAATAAAGCCAAAAACCAAGATGAAAAAAATGTGCAAGGTAAGTTAGGTCATAAACAATCTCATTTAAAAATAAATACAGTTAGCCGGGCGTGGTAGCGCACACCTGTAGTTCCAGCTATTTGGAAGGCTGAGGTGGAAGGATCACCGGAGCCCAGCAGGTCGAGGCTGCGGTGGCCGGGAGTAGCCACTGCACTCCAGTCTGGGCGACAGAGTGAGACTCCAACTCAAAAATAAAGAAAGAAAGAAAGAATAAATACAGGCCAGGTTCGGTGGCTCAGCCTGTAATCCCAGCACTTTCAGAGGCCGAGGCGAGTGCATTGCCTGAGCTCGCAGGTTTGAGACCAGCACAGGCACCTTGGAGAGATCTTGTCTCCACAATAAATCAAAAATTAGTGGTGCAGATCGCCAGAGCCCAGTAGGTCGAGGCTGTGGTGGCCTTGAGCATGCCACTGTACTCCAGCCTGGGCAATAGAGTGGGACTCCAACTCAAAAAAAAAAAAAGAATAAATACAACATAGCAAAGAAGATAATGTTGAATCAAATTACCCATACAGACATAGTAGAAAAAGACGTGATACATCACAGAGCATGCACATGAAAGATACTGGATATCTTTAAATATTTTGTAAGAGCTCCACTACCTCAGAAACACTAGATAAGATAGCTCGGGCAACTTGGTGAGACCTCGTCTCTACAATAAATAAATTTTTAAAAAAATTAGCCGGGAGTGGTAGTGTGCACCCGTAGTCTCAGATACTTGAAAGGCTGAGGCAGAAAGATCGCCTAAAGCCGGCAGGTTGAGGCTGTGGTGGCTGTGAGTGTGACACTGCACTCCAGCCTAAGTGACAGGGTGAGACTCCAACTCAAAAAAAAAATTCTAACCTTTCCCCAAATAAATGTATAGCTGAATTGGAGTCCCACTCTGTTGCCCAGGCTGAAGTACAGTGGCATACAGTGGTTAGACTTCCTCAGTTCTAGGTAAGAATGCCTAAGTAGGGTGGTATGTTCAAACTAGAGCTCTGAGTCCTTGCAAACTGAAGTGTTCTCAGCATAACAGGACCGCTGTTAAAATGTGCCTCATGACAAATGGCAACAACAGCAAAACCTACCTCAGCCTGGGCCCATGGGGAAAGGAAGGTGGGGGTAGTGTGTGACCGAAGGCTCCTTCACAGAGGTGTAGATATCCAATCTGACTATCTGTGCAGCAGTCAAAGAAATCCCTGGGTGTTGTCCGTTTCTATCATCCCTTCCCTCTACAGTGATAGAGCTCATCATTTTTAGCAGGGACTTCTCAGAAGGAAGAATGCATTTCCCAGCTTACAATGCAGCTAGGTATGAGCACATTCTGGCCAAAAAAGTATACCACCAGGCCCAGTGGCTCACACCTGTAATCCCAGAATTTTGGGAGGCGGAGGCAAGAAGACTGCCTGAGCCTGAGTTCAAGACCTGCCTGG